ATCTCTAGGAGAAATAGGCTTTCTATTCAGAGCCCCATGTGTTTCAAAACTTATTATGGAAAGGGTGCCTATAGGAAGATGTAACAGTCAAGCCTTTTTTTTTTTTTTCCAGGGGCATTATTTGCACCAAGCTGCTTTAAGCAATTTTTCAAACTTACATGAATGATAACTTTTCAAATTAAATTTTGCAGGTGCATAAGTAGAAGAAAGTAACTTTTTTTTTTTTGCCATTACTCATTGACTTAACAGGGAGATTGTTAAATGTTTCTTATACACTGTTAGGCTGCACAGTTAAGCCTGAAATCTAAAGAATTTTTTCTGACAACACTCAGTAATAAGTTTGGGGACTGATAGCTTCTGTTTACTCCCAGGCTTTAGTATGTGTTTGTATATACATGTCCATATTAATCACGTAGTGATATACATTAATTAACCAAAATGCTACTCAGGCAGGAGTACTAAGGCTTTATGACGTTCTGTGCACTTTATCGTCTTTAAATATAATCTGAAAACATAAGGAGTTGTCTAATGCAACAGAACTCATGACTAAATAAACACATTCAACTTCTTACAGCCCTGTTTGATTGTTCACATTCATTCTTACTACACAGATTAGATAAAAGAGCATAAAACACACTGCCCGTCTGTGCTACAGACCCACACACAGTGCTGCTGACTGTCCTGTATGGGGAGGTAAGAGCCATCACTGTTTACATCTTTATGCTGCTAAACAGCAGTTTACTTTTAATTTTTGATTTATGCCCTTTTTTTTTATTAGGATAAATGAAATTTGACTGCACTGCAAACAAAAATATCTACCATCTTTTTTCCTGATTGGGAGGCAGTGTGAAACAGGAACAAGGTCAAGTATAAAATACAGGCTGATACAGTCACTTTGCCTCTTGAAGTCTTAGTCAAATCAAGTAAATTATGCTTTAATAGATCTGTGAAGTGAGCCTATGACCCCTATGAATTCAGTCTTCACTCCAGGTTTGGTTATTTGGCCATAATAAATTTGTTTTCTGACCCACTGAGTCAATAAACTTAATTTCAAAATTAATATTTTCAGGCTTCAAACTCACTGAATCCAATTACAAATCAAATTGTTCCCTTTAAATTTAATAATCTAAAACTTGGTGGTCTAGTGCTTTTTGCCCTTATCTGCCTCCTTGGTACTTAACTTTTTATTAGATGGCCCATAAAATTAAGTTTCTAAGGAAGGGAGCATCAGAAGGGCTCCAAATCTTAAATCTTCAATTACAAACATCAGTACAAAATGTTGCCTTTTCCTGCAACACTTCCTTTTAATTGGTATTATTATGATGCACAACAGGTTATCATTGTACAGTAAAAGCATGAACGCGGATTTGGGTTATTTTTGTTTGGGGGGGTGGTTTGGGGGGTACTTCACTTTTTGCCTAATGTGGTAAAATCCCTCTATTTTTTTCTTTATTTATTTCTGGTAATTTAGATAAAATTACACTTTGTGGGAAGACCCCCTATCATTTCAAAACTATTGAATTCAGCTTCCATTCTTGCAAGGCATGGTTGCTAAGATAGATAAATGATCATGACTGAAAAAGACCTGTGGCAAAAGTCTTTTTCCTTACAAACTCCCCATCCCCATGAAGCTGCAGAGGATTCTCTGCATCCTCTTCATATGGATGCAGAGGATACAGGGGCACAGCTTCTGGAGCACAAAGGGACACAACTCTGCTGGGACAAAAGGCAGGAAGGACTGATGTGCACCTCCAACTAAACTGCTTAGGTTCAAACACTCCCAAGGTCAGTAAGGTACCATCTCATTTCACTGCGTTGCCATTTTTGCTAAACCTACCGCGAGGAAGGAATTAGAGGTTGGAAGCAGTCAGTACCCAGCTAACCCAGGGCTTTGTGGAGCACTTCTGCTGCTCTCTGGGGGCACTTCAAGGTGGTCTCATGCTAAGCCTTCTCCCAGCTGGGAATCTGTGGGCATGCATCGCTTCAGTGTGCATTTGCCCTGTGTATAGGAGAATATTTTGTTATTAGGTTGATGACAAAGTCCTAATTCTGAACACAGCTACTGTTCAGGGATGGATAGTTTGCAGCATTACTTAGTGCTGTTTTGAGACACTAGTGATAACTTTCCTGTACTGTTTAAACAGTCGTATCATTTTAAGCAAGCGCTTATTACAGCACTTCTCATCCAGGAGAGGAGGGAAGACGGCTTAACACAATCCATTAGGAAACTCAAGCCTTAAATGAAGTGACCACAAAGTCCTATCAGCTCCCAGAAATGCAGCAGCTGTACATATTTAGCGTAATACTACCCAATATTGTGGCAGATCTGCTGTTTAAAACACACATAAGGCAGGTGAACGTGACTGTTTTACTCCTCTGTTTGAAAAATGAGAAAGCGTAGAGCAGCATGACTTCTCAAATACATAAATAAGCATTAGACTTATGGAGAAGACAGGTACCCTGTTGCACTAGTAATAACGGATTAAAGGTCAGCAGTTAAATCTGAAACTATCGCAGCCCTGTTCCTTTGATCTTGTTCCCCAAGACTCTGCTCTATTACTAACAGGTGAAGTGCAAAACAAGAAGAGGGTCTGCTGAGTTCTACAGCACTTGTCTTAATTTAATGGCAGCATTTCCTAAATATTCATCTAATGCCATAACTACACATGCAAGGGGCAGCTCCAGATTTCCCTGCTGGGTCAGATCCTGTGCAATTCCAGACTCTGCAGAGCACAAAGAGGAAGAAAATTTGACTCACTGGCTTAGCTTTGAAGCAGAGCCAATGCAGCAACCAACATGTTATGAATTATATGTTATTTCACCATGTTTTGCCAAGTCCTCCCATATGACATTTTGTTAATTTGCAGCCTCTTAAGTGAAGAATAGGATGCTCCACTGGGATATGACGGTATATGAAAAGAATAGGAACATCTATTGTTATTTACATACATACAAAGTAATGAATACAGTGAGCTTTCTGAATGGAAATATTCAGTATCTTTTAGCTTCTAGAAGAAGTTAATAGAGGTGTAGGAAAGGGAGCCAAGGGGACTGAGATGCTCTAATTCATCCTTTCTCATAATATATGGACAAGGAGGCCCCAAACAAAGCACATAGGTAATAAAGAGTAAGTTAGGTAAAAGTGGACTTTTTTAAATATTGCCTGACTGATTACATTCATGGCCATAAACTAATAGTCAATCCTACCACTCACAGGTTATTAGAAGGCTGAAATACGCCTATGCATTATGTTAACATGTATTTATTTTCATTTAGTAGGGATCTAAACTTCCTATTTCAGGATCTAAGCTGTAGATGAAAGAGAATCTGCCATGAACTGGTACAGGCTAGGGGGGGGGAGAAACGATACAGACTTGGGGGTGTTGGTTGATGAGAAACTTAACATGAGCCGACTTCAATGTGCGCTTGCAGCCCAGAAAGCCAACCGTATGCTGGGCTGCATCAAAAGGAGTGAGACCAGCAGGTGGAAGGAGGTGATCCTGCCCCTCTACTCTGCTTTCGTGAGACCCCACTTGTGACTGAAAGTCACAGGAGCATCAGCAGATGGTGATCTGGATCCTGTCAACCCAGAGTGTCTTACACATCGTAAGGATGTTGAACTGCATGCGCATAAATGCGCATGTGACTGCACATGCATACATCCATGGGAACTTATTTTCAAATGAGGAGCATCTAAGGAATGTGAATATCCATTCCTCCCCTACACTTTTTCCTAGATAAAAAAGGATACAAACACCACTTCTCACAGAAGACTCATGTGACTTTAGCTTGCCTGTCTGCTCCAGTAGACATTATGAGCTTGATTCTCCAAGACTGCCACTAAAATTCCACTCTGCTGATTTTTGCAACCTAATTCTTCAGGCTTTTTGGTTTTGTTTTGTTTTATTATTTATATTTTTAAGGATTATGTGACCCAATTTTATTAAGGTTAATTTGCTATAACAATGCATCTTGAATCTAGGATCCATATGTACTTATCTGCTATTACCACAAATGTAAAACACCAGATTTAGAGTCCTGAATTCAGCTTGAACTTGACAGGCTTTGAATGTTCTGAAGCATTAGGGAAAATGGCATCATTTAGAAATCCAAAATGTAAAGGGTTTTATGAGTAATAAACATATCTAAGTCAATAAAGGCTATACAAAGACTCGTGCTATTGAGCATTAAGAGGACATAGCTACTTTTTCAACAACTAAAAATGCTGGAGTGCTCCTTCGTTATTTTTCTTTAAATGACACATCACACATTCTGCTGCAGAAAAACAGCTGCTGAAGTAACCTAGAGGGCATTTTCAGGCACTGCACTTCAGTGATTACAGCAATTTTTGTAGACATTCAATATTAGGATTGCATTCTAATTTTAGACAGAGTTAAATTTAAATTGAGTAGGAGGGCTTTTTATGCTACTTTAGATGTTCTAACATTGCTTACCCCAACCTCAAAACTGTATAGCATCTGCATTTTGCAGCAATGATAATTCATTAATAATGATACTTTTTAAAACAAAGAAACTAGACCTCACAAGCTACAGCGAGAAGATGCCTGCTGTTGTGATGGTACCCAGACTTAGGCCACAAAAGTATTTACCCACTGGCCATGATCCCAACACCATGGATTTAGTGACACTGTCATATTTAAACCCTCCTCTACCCTATTTCCATGATACCTCCTCTTCATTGTGTATATCTAGCAAGTATCCTGAGACTCTGAGCCCAAACTGGGACTCTTATGTTTATGCTTATTAGTATTTAAATCCTCTGACTCTCACAAAACCCAAACATTGAGCTGAAGGAAACTGAAAGAAACAAGGTTAGTAAAGGGCTGACAGTCCAACAGACAATACAGATGGAAAGTGGAGTGACTAGGTGAAACAGAGAAACGAAAGAAAAGTGCTTCTATTAGATGCCAAATGAGACCCAGGCTGGGCCTCATTAAAACTATGTCTATGTAGGTTACATCTTTCCTTATTTCACTTACCTTGTTTCTCTTGAAATACGCTCTTCGGCAAGCTGCAAAGCACTTCTCGCTGCAGAAGCATTTCACTTCACTTCCCATACTCAGGGAATAGCGCTTGATTCCAACTTTCTGGCACCAGGCACACATTATTTGTACATTTGACACATCATCTTCTACAACAAAAATATAAGAACAATGTTTACATGAGAGGCAAACACCTTCCTTAGACATCTGCACACTTAACTCTTAGTTACAACCAGCACCAGCTCATCCTATTTCTAACTTCCTCGCTGTTTGAGAGCTGAACTGTGCATACTTGTGATCACCGGGTTCATCCTCAGGCAGTCAGTGACCTGCACCAGCCAGGCTCAACACACTGGCAAAGCTTCTAAGACAGCTGGAAAAGATTATTAGCTTAAAAAAGATGGTGCATTGCTGAAAAGCTCTGGAAATCTCAAGAGCTTTCAGCATGTTTCAGAGTGCACAACTCTTCATTAAACGAGTAACCAAGACTAGAGGCTCAATGAGTATTGCTGCTTTGTTCTTGTTACTTGCAGTCTGTTGTAGTGAGCCCTTGAGATGTTCTGCTCAGCAAGCTGGTGACAAAACACACCCAAGGGGTACTGCACCAAGGCAAGTTTCTAACATAAGGCCTTTTCTAAGTAAGAAGGCACATGAAATGCCCTGTTTCTGTGTTGCTTCAAAATAATGACTAGTGTACAGAACAGGGAGCTTTTGTGTGAATAATGCATCCACGAAACAGACACGAGCAAGAAGGAAGATGCAACACTGCTGGGTTACTTTCCAGTCATCACACTCATTGGTCAACTTTTAATTCAGGCAGAGTTCCTGAACCTCTTTCAAGCTCTTCTCCAATGTGTGTTACAAATGTGGCATCTATGCCTTCTGCCATGTAAAAAAATCCAGGGCTTACTACTAAAGTACTAATGATATCCTTGTGTGGTCATCATTCCCACCCCAGCTTCACAGACTGGGCAATGAATAGTTATGGCTCCTAAACAGATCATGACAGTAAGTTAGCAGGAATCTTTCTGACTTAAAACTCAGAATTCTCCAGTTCTAATGTCCAGTCTATGATACAGTTGACCTTTCAGTTACAGACAGAAGCCATTGTCTAACTTCTGTAAAAAAAAAAGTAATCCCTGGAGACTAATTGTTAAAGCAATTCCTGGTCCATGAGCTGTGGAGAATTCATAGCTCAGGGAGTCTGTCATGCAGCCATCCCATTTCCCTATAAAGGATTTGTTTTTGAAGCTACACTGTCATCATTCTGTAAAATTATTGGCAAACTGATTTTTAGCAGAGTGATTTGGCTCTTTTCCCCAGCTATCATAACTCAGAACTACGTGCTGCATTTTATTCACCTTAACGGAATAAATATTGCCAGTTTAATAACTTTTTTCCTTCCACAACCTGTATTATGGTTTATAGCTACAAGTAAAATTGTACAATGTAAAATAATAACCTTTTAGTTTTAATCAGACTGTCTACCTTTAAAAGTATATTTAAGGCTAAGTTCTAACACAGATTTGTGTTTAATGTATTTTATCACTTACCCTTTAGAGTGGGATTTGCCAATATTATAAATACTTTCATATACTGAACATCAAGGGAAATCAAAACAATTTGGCCAAAATTATCACTAGCCATCTATAAGGTCAAGAAGCCTGCCCTTGGGCTGGCTGCAATCTCAGACAGGCACAGAAGAGTGCAAAGTGCTGTTACGGTGGTGTTGCACAGTGTCATCACAGCTTTCTCTGTGGATCAGCCTTGGCCAGGATTCCAACTACTCCAGCACAGCCCAAGAGCTCTTCCCCCCATTTTTACCCTGAGCCATTTGAAGTACTAAGCTTTTACAAAGGTGCATTGATTCAGCTACTTCTGCACCACAATAAACCAATTCATTACAGGATGAACTTGCCCCTTTGAATGTATAAGGACAACAGAAGATGCTGTGAACCAAAGCAAACAGACTGAAACCTCTTGTTTCAGGTAACAGCAACATATATTCTCCTATCGAAAATATTTTATCTCTGGAAAACAGAAGATCTGTGACCAGTGATACCTTTCTAATAGCCTTCATTACTGGTGCAAGTAACAGACATAAAATAAAAAAAGGAAATTATAGAGCTGAAAGAGATTTCACTGGCACAGTACATGCTGCAGTCGGTCTTTCTGAAGCAGGTTGGCTCATCTGGGGCACAGTTTTTAAGAAGCACAGAGCTTCACCACTGGGATTCTCAGGGGCTTTGATGAAGGGCTTCATTGGGGAACCCCCTCAGCTGTCATTCAACTGCTGTTCAGTGACACACATGAACTTCTCCCATGGGTGATAAGAAAGACCACAGAACTGTCCATTTTCAATTACATAGCATTCCAGCTGCAGCAACAGCTGTTTACATGGAAAAGCCGCATTACACACTTCTCTGCAGGAGGTTATGCAGGACAGTAAGGCTCAATTCACCACCTTCTGCTAAAGGCTTCCTCTGAGATAGAGGAGAGGAAGAGGCACTTACTCTGTCGAGTTGTTGTCTTACCATGCCCTGACCAGTAGAACGCCACCACCACCTCAAGAGGAATCCTTTGAAGCAGCATTGCTTCACTTGCGGTCCATGGATCTGACAGTCAACGAAACAGCAGAAAATGGTCTACAAACTGCTACCTCCAGCCACTGTCTGCGCTTCCAGGAACAGACAGCTGATATCCAGGAGGCATTATCAATACTAATGAAAATGTTCATCATTTTGAAAGAAGGGAATGTGCCTAAATACAAAGAATTTCAATTATTTCTCTCTTACTCCCTTCTCACCCCAGTCATCAAAGAATGGTCACAATATAATCCTTATAATAGTAGCAGCAATAATAAAACTAGATGCCGCTTCTATTTAATAGACTCAGGAACACTGCTACAAAAGGATTAGCTGAGTATGGCAACATAAAGCAGTCAGGAAACAGTACTTCAGAAGGGAGTTTGGAGCATGTGCTGCCTGAAACGGTGCACTAATATGTCACTTTTTAAGTCATCTTTGCTCCATCAGGCATAGGTTTGCCCAAGTCAATTTCTGAAGCAACTCTAACTTCTTGTAATGCAGTTCATCAGGTGGAAAAAGAACACATCCAGTGCCACATAACTAATTCCCTAACAACCATCAACAAGAGCCCTGTGCAGCCTAGTGAGAGGAAGACTGGCTCTAAAATAAGATCCTTTCTTCAGCTTCAAGTGAAGCTAAGAACAGCAGAGAAAAAGACCCATTCTTGGTACCTGGGATAGGTACAGAGCCATGTCCTATGGGCTTGGATGACAGCTGGGGACAATGAAATGATAAAGGTCCAGACCTGATCGCGTGCTTTCCGTCTTGACACTGGTTGCAGTAGAGGACTGAGCAGACATTGTGAAAATAACTAATAGGGATGTTTCATTACACTGTATTAAGCTTAGTGACTGAAAAAGAGGACTGCAACATTAACGGAAAAGTAATAGTCCATGTATTTCTACCATTACAGTCCACAGCAGTGGGAAGCAGTAACTTAAACTTCAAAACATTAAGACTGTGTGAAATAAGAAAAGCCAAAATCTCATGCCTTAATTGCTGTCTTTTGCTAAACTCAACTTAGAATAATCTGAAACCAGAAATTCGTATCTTCTATTCAAGAAAAAATCCTCTCGCTTCTTCACAGACCTCTGTTTCGTGAGGCCAAAGTCTTTAAAAATCACTTTACCACACTTTTGCCCTTCTTTCAGGAAAATGTATCAAATCCCCATTCCTAGAAGACTCAGCAAGAAGAACCTGCTGCGATGAGAACATAGGAAGCAGGGAATTTCAAATCCAGAAGTTTGAGACTGCTTAAGTGAAACCAGTCTTGGAATTTTTATTCTAATCTTTTCCTGACTAGATCTGCCCTAAGGAAGCTTCTCCAAAGTAACTACATCAGTATACTATGTCTGAAATGTTCTCCTTTGCTCACAGACAAACTTGTGCTGGTAGTCTGGCTCAGCATACCTGCTTGAGTAACATGAGCTCATCCTGACTGCATGGCTACGTCTATCATGTGAGCTCTCGCCAGAGCAGCTCTTCTGATAAAGATCATTCCCCATCACTTTTAGGACTCATGTAAGTAGGCTGACACATTTGTGAAGTACAAAAATAACATTTTCAAATCCTGATACAGATCATTTTTAAGTGAAAGAAAACATTTTTTAACAACTGTATTTATTTTCTCCATCAGGGCCTGCAACTTTATGACCTGCTCTTACAATGTGCTTAGCATGTTCTCAGATCTGTCACATGACAGGTAGGTACTCCTACAGTGAGACAAAGAGAAGTTGGCACAGAGACAAGTGAATACTAACAAAGGAGTTTTCAGCAAAATATCCATACTGCTGCCTACTATGATTACACCAGGTAATAGAAAAACACATTCCTTCCATATACAGCACAAGATCTGAATCCACAACCTCTGTTTTTTTTTGAGTTCTCAAGTCTTCATAGGGAGAGCTATCATGAAAGTCCCAATACTGTGTTTTTCTGCCCCTGGGTTGTGTCACTACAGGTGGAAGCAGTAGTCCCTGCACCCGACACACAGATTCTTTTCAGATGCATCTCCTTGCAGTTTTTAGCTTGTGTATTTTTTATAATGAACAATGCAATAAACACTGAGTGTTTGCAGTGTTAAATCATGTTCCCAAAGGGAGTAGTTTGTATAACAAGATAAAATTATCACATTATAATAACTAAATATGCATCAGTCTAAAGCATACTTCAATTAATCATCAAAAGTTTGCACCGCCTCTTTAGGTCTTAATTAAGCAGAATGTTTGGTTGGGTTGGTTTTTTTTTTTATTCCTTTCAAACCAGTGTGAAGGAGCTGCAGAAAATTGTTCCTCTTAAACCCAGTGAGCAGCAGTTTACACTAATCGATCTTATATGGAACCATAATTTGAAGAGGTGGGGGAAGTGAAGGAAGGCAACTAGTACAACAGAGTAAATCCATCATCCACAGCTCTGTCCCTTTATCTAAGCAACCCAGTGTGGCCTACAGTGATTAGCAGGATGATTCTAAAATCCCTAGAATTCCAGAGATAAATTCTTATCAGTTTGCTAACTTTCAGGCTGCAACATTCTACTACCACCATGACCTAAATGATGCCTAT